TCTAAGTATAATATGAATATCTCGATGTCGGCTTAATCGTATTGTTTAAATCAGTTGAATGCATTTGGGAATATAAAGTTTACCGCGACGATAAACCCGGAAGTATACTTCTATATCAAATGAATTAACCGCCATAGCGACCTTTAGTTTAGACACGGCTAACCCAATAACTTACCAGAGTATAGTGTATCATGTAAAATATGGAAACGGAGTGTCTAACCGTAGATGCGTGGTTCAATATTCCAAGATATCTCAGATAAAGTCCGTAACACTGCTAAATAAGACTGTCATGGCGAAGAATATGTGCACATGCGCAGTAAAAATAAGCTGTTATCAACGTGACAATAATACCCGGGCCGGGGTAACACAGAATATCAACAACAACAAAAAACGGCCTTCAAAATGCTATTAACTCAGTGCAACCATATTGTTATAAATGGAAACTAGAAGTAAATGTATCAAAAACTCAAAATCATGATTTTCAATAAATCTGGCAAAACCATAACAAAACATAAATTTGTAATTAATGGAAACCCACTTGAAAGTGTATCCTCTTACACTTACCTAGTTTTGAAACTAAACACAACTGGTAAACTTATCAGAGCTCAGGAAGATCTCAGCCATAGAGAGATGAAAGCTTACTTCAAAATAAAACACTTGTTATATTCTGAAAATATTCCAGTAAAAACATACCTTAAACTATTTGATAGTATGGTTAAACCTATCCTGATCTATTGCAGCGAAATATGGACGAGCGACTGCGTGGAAACCTATGGAAACATTTCATAACGAATTTTGCAAATACATTTTACAGGTAAACTGTGAAACCAGTATTGGCATAACCCATACAGAGGGTGGAAACCTATTTATAGGTGTAATAGGTGGCGCTGTTAGATAAATGCGCCCTCACTGGCGGATGTTAATGCCCAGTGGTGTTTGTGTAATCAATTTTTCTATCCATATAGACTCAAGTTTTTTTCTAAGGTGGTCGTCTGTTTTGTTAATTAGATAGACACCCTATTTTACTGACTAGTATAAAACAAATGTTCAAATCT